CAGAATAACGTAATTCTATGAAACTCACTTCCGCAGGAGGCAGTGATGGCCGCCAACCTGGATGGATCTAGAAGAGGATTGCACAAATTCATGGAGAGGAGAGGAAAGGGCTATCAATGGCTACTAGACACAATGGCCAGGCTCTGCCTCCATGGTTGGAGCCAAGCAATACTTCTGAGTCCCAGTTGCTGGAAACGGCATGACAGGGTATTTGCTCTTGTGCTTGGGCCCTGTTTGTGGGACAAACAGGTCCCACTGAGACATCTGGTTAACCGCTGTGAGAACAGGATGCTGGCTAGATGGGCCACTGGCCTCATCCAGCAGCCTCTTCTTATATTCTGTTCTAAATCCAACTCCACACTGTCCCCAAACATAATCTTGGGCACCAATTCTTCTCCACTCTCCAAGATGCAGAAAACCACTAGATATGGCAGAAATTCAACTATAAGCAGAGCAAATGGTGCCCTCCAGATGCTTTATTAGACTACATCACCCACCAAACCCAGCCAGTAACAACTGCACTGGACTACCTCCTAAGGGGAGGGGGAGGCTGATGGGAACTGTAGTTCAAAAGGGCCAAGCTGGCTGGAGGCTGTACCCCAAAACATCTGGGGGCACCAGTGCAGGTGGAGGCCCTGTAGTTTTGCATTAATCCTACATAACCCCAGAAAACTGCCATGCTGCCTGACTAAAGAATGAGCAATACTGCGGAAACACCTAAAACACAGGAAAAGACTCACTTCCTCTGTAAAGGACAGAAGGAATCTATCCCAACATGAGCCTCTGGAAATAATAGCCTAGTCTCCCAAACAGGTTTTCACTCCTTCTGAAGAATCATTAGCCCATCACCAGCGGAGAGGGCCCCCTCCAAGGACCGGAAGGGATATTGAGAAGGCAGCAGGAGGAGGAATTGTGACTGAAAAGTGGGGTGGGACGGCCTTTGTGAACTGGCTGACCTCATAGGGTTGCCATAAGGCTTGCTGAGGTCATGTATACCTGGCCATTTTACCTACCACAGGCACATTGCACTTCTCTTTCAATGCATGAATCATCAAACTGCTTTGTTTTATATTTTAACATTCATTGAGGGGGGCTGGACTAGGTGACTCTCAAACTCTACAATTCTGTGATTATTTCCTTGTTTATTTCTATCCCAAAGGAGCTCAAGGTGGTGGCATCCATAGCTTTTTTCCTCCTCCCCATTTTACTGTGACAACAACCCTGTGAGGTAGAGTTTGGCTGAGCAGCAGGGAATAGGCCCAAGTCACCCTGTGAGCTTCATGGTCGAGTGGGGATTAGAACCCTGGTCTCTCAGATCCTGGTCCAAACACTACACCACACTGGCTCTCGCAGATTAACATTACACCTAATAGTCAGGTGCTTGGAGCAAAACAAAAGATGGACAGCTTCCTTGCCATTGTTTGAGCTTCCTGGAAGTAAGGGGTGCCAAAGCCTGCTCTAGAGTTTGGGGTCAGGCTGTGGGAGGAGGCTGAGAATGGCATCAGGCTCCAGTGACCCATCCCCACTGCCAGGCAGAGTATGGTACCCCGAAGTCTTTAGAAAACATCCTGTAAAAAATATCAATTACTTGTTTCTCTCTCTGGAAGGCGCTTCATGAGGGGCTGCCTTTAAGGTCTACTCAGAATCACCAGTGAGCCCAGAATGCAGCTGTTGACACAGACTGGTGGAAAAGACACATTCTGCCAGTCTAAAACAACTCCACTGGCATCTAGTTCTGGGCAAGTGTTGAAGTTGTTTCCTAGAGTCCTCGCTCCACATTTTCCTGGCCTTCAGAGCTCAAGAGGTTGGTCATCTGAGAACAGACCTTTTCTCTTCTGGCAATCACCCTGTTGATGGAATGATATCCTCCAGCCTGTGGCCTACTCTGGAAGCCAGCAAAAGACTCTTTCAGTTGCCCCATCCTTTTATAGTTTCCCAATACCTTAATTAAACATTATCACACGCAACTGTTGGTTGCAGAACCATTTTATTGCTATTATATTTTTACCTTCCCTATGATGCTGCTTGTGTGTTCCTTTTTAATAAAAGATCATTGTAGGATTTCTGATTATCTTAAACTACCCCGAAAGTTTTTAATTGATTCCCTGCCTGCAAACCCAGATTGAGGATTATGTTTATTTTACTTATTTATTTTTATTTCACAGAATTTGTATACTGCCTGATTGTTTTTTTTAAATAAATAAATCCCAAAGCAGGTTACAAAAAGAATCAATCAATACAACTGTTTGTAAAATCAAATAAAACACTCAAAAGGTTAAAATAAGCAATGAACTAAAAACACATCAGCATTCCATGTATCTGGGTAGGCACGTGTAAACAAAGATGTTTGCAGCAGGCGCAGGAAGGCCCCTGCCTGAAGTCAATAGGCAGGGAGTTCCAAAGTGTGGATGGTGTTGCAGTAAAAGATCGATTTCTTACAAATGCGGTATTATGTAGCACCTGTAAGAGCACCTGTTCTGCAGACTGAAGGAATTGCATGAACATATATGGGGCAAGGCGATCTCACAGCTAAATCAGTCACAAATTGTTAAGGACTTTGTCTACCAATAGCAACACCTTGCAACCAGATCCAAAAAGCAGCATTCAAGAAATAATTCTCAATTTCCACATCTCATCTCTTCCAAATTTAAGAGAGTCCTCTGCAGTCGCCTTTCCAGCATCTCCCCAACCAGAATATACAGAAACTTTACAAGCACCCCCTTGGTTGCTTCTAAAACTGATCTTTGCTTTTGCTCTCTCTCTTTGGTCAATAACTATGTCACACATACACACACCCACTGCAAAAGCACTCAGCGGGAGTCTCTGAGCCAACAGATAACAGGCATCAGGTCCTCAGAACAGATCACGCCTTTATTAGAAGCTTTTAAAGCCCAGTGCAAGATGGACCTGTTTGGGTAGCTTGAACTGAATAGATCAGGGCATGGGGCACCCTGCCAGCTCACCGCTCATTAAATCCCGGGGTGTGGTTTAAAAGAACACAGAAACATGATTCTGCTTGCCTTTACACCTCCTCCTGACAATCATTTTGTCAAGAAGGAACAGAGTATAAAATTCAGGGCTGTACATACTAAGCAACAGCCAAGACAGACCTGTTGGGTCTGCAATTCCAGCCTGCGAAGGAAATTAGCAATAGACAGCTTGGGAAGAAAACAGTACATTTTGGTGCCAACACCACACACCAGGAGCCCTAGGCCTAAAGAAGTAGGAATAGCAAAGCAATCTACTCCTCCAAACCTCTCCCAAGGCCAACCCTTTGAGAATTAAAGATATTTGTACACATACCAGCACAGGCAAGAACGAAAGGAACAGCAAGTCTAACTTTCAAACAATGATTCAACAAGGAAATAAATTCTCTCATATTGGAAGCACGGCAGGGCAACCACCATTTTAAGGCTTCAGCGACCAAGAGAGAAAAACCGAAACACCTTTGGAAGTTTACAATTGAAGTTCTACGAACTCACATGGCATCACTATCTAAACACGAACTCAGCTCTATGTAAACTATCCATCCATTTATCTGAAGCCAAAAAAGAAATGGGCGGTTGTGTGAGTAATTTAGCTGAATTAATATTAAAAAGGTACAGTTTCTATAGGCTCAAAAAACAAATAACTTTCAGAACAAATGAAAAAGGACCACAGAAAGGCAGAAATCCAGGAAGATATACAACAAAGAGTCTAGTGCTTTTTTAAAAATTTGGCCGTTTTATTACAGCGTAAAAGTTTTTGTGGACTTTATCAGATGACCCTCTGCAATTAGGACATAGGTTGAAGGGAAAAAGCAGTCAAAGGTTCACCTTATGTTTACTCAGGATTGCTAATATGATGTTGGGATGATCAGCTACTGCTGCCCTAAAGGGTCCTTCTGCCTGCATTTAAGCGCTCACTGAATAGTCACAAACTGTATTTTTATATTCCACAGCTATTTAAATCCAACATTTATTTTTCTCCTCTTTACATCCGTACATCTGAGGATCACACACCATGCACTGTGGTGAACTGTTGTCCCCAAATCTAAGCACCGTAACAAAAGGTGTGACTCTTTAAGGTACCACAAATCTCTTGGGGCAGACCCACGACATCATACATTTAAAGCCATGGTATCCCCCCCCAAACAATTCTGGGATCTGTAGTTTCCATCTCCTGGAACCACAGTCTCCAGCACCCTGAACGAACTGCAGTTCCCAGGATCCTTTGCTTGCACTGCTACAAACGCACACACCTTTCCCTCTGGAGAAGATAACGGAAAGAAACGTCACACTGTGTATTTAACAAAACTACACAGGCTTCTTTCCAACCTACAAAAGGGGATTAACACAGATGCTTTAAATACAATTTCCCTGTTTCAGGCTGCAAGCTGAGGTGTGCATACTTTGTTGAGAGAGCATCCCTCCCCCACTCCTGTTTTAACGCTATGGCTCTTACTCCTGAGTAAACAGAGAAGATGGCTGGCTGGCACAACCTGCAACGAACCATGGTGGGGGAAAATAAGCACTTCTGGGAAATGTGGGGTGTTGGCTTGAGCCAGAGAGAGCCTGGCAGGAACTCTGCTTGCTTTCCCTTTCCAAGGTCTGCTCGATCTGTTACACAACCCACAGGCAAGGTTTCTTTTACCAGGGGGAGGAAGGGGAGAGGGAAAATTAATATTTAAGAAATTCCATCCATACAACCAAAGAGGTCACCAGCAGGAAATGGCTAGGAGAGGATAAAGAGGAAAATGGTCAGTGTAAGGACTAGAAAACTAATTTTTTAAAATAAGGAGTTTTGCCAGTTTTCCGGGTCCGATCCCCGCAGCGTCCCGAGAGCCGCTGCCAGTCAGTGTCGACAATATGGAGCGAGATGGACCCCAAGTATAAGGCCGCTTCCTCTGGTCCTGAGCCCCACCTGGGAGGCTGCCCCAAATCTCCTTGCAGCCCCACTCACCTGGGAAGTCCCTTCCAGCCCCCCAGCCCCTCCTGCACCCACTTCCTTTGCCTACTCACACAGCCCGGCGCAGAAGCAGCCCCACCAAAGCCAGCCCATCGCCGCCACCGCCATTGCCTCCTCCGCCGCACAAACCGACTGAGCAAGGCCGGAGCGCAGCGGCGCCCAGGTGAGCAGGAGCCCCTCCCGGATTGGCTGAGCGGGACGCCCCGCCCCGCCCGCACAGGTGAAGCGCTCCGCAAGGAAAGGCGCGCGGAGGGGGGCGTGGAAAAGACTCGCTCCGCCCTCCTGGCCTCCTCCTTGGAGTTTGGAGGGGGGGAGAGAGAGACATCCTTTCCACGCCCTGCACCCCCAGCATCGTCAACTCGGGCTTTCCCGCCCTGCAAGGTAGCAAAGGAAATGCAGGATTCAACCCCCACCCAACCCCACCAGCTTTGGGGCAGGTCCACACCACGCCTGCAAAGTGCAGCCAACGCGCATTTGGAGCGCATGACTTCCTTCAAGCAATCCTGAGAGCTGTAGTTTGTCCTGGGTGCTGGGAATTGTAGCTTAGCGAAGGGGAAGCTACAGTTCCCAGGATTATTTGGGAAACCTTGGGGAGGGGGGGGTTAGATGTGCAAAGGTGAGACAACTCTTTTTTTGTTTCCTTATTAAGCTGATTTGGAGGAGGGTTCCAAAAATCCAGACGCCCTGATTCTTCCCCAACCAGGAGCAAAAAATAAATTATGAAAATCTTTTCACCTAGCCGCAGATATTTAGGATATTGCTCCAAGTGTGGGTGTGCATTCATATTCAAGTACAGTATATTCCAAAAGCTTGCTTTCATAGGTGTAGCCAGGATTGGGGAGAGGGACAGGACACCCACCTGTCACCATGTCTGGCTCTGTCTAGCAGATTTTGAACGGCGTGTGTCAACAACAATATAGATTTGTATTTTAATCAGTTTTCAGTTTAGTGGTGATTTTAATTTTTTGAAAGTTTGAAATGGTTGTTTATAGCTGTTTCTACCAATAATTTTTATTGCTTTATTCTTTTTGTAAAGCAGTTTGATGTTTTGTTTGTTACAATCAAGCAGTGTATGTATAAATTTCATGAAATAAAATGAGTAACCACCAAACCAAAGGGAGCTGTTGTTTTTTGAAATAATTGTCTATAGAAATCCATGATTTGTATGCTGACTTTTCTAAAAGGTCTCTTTCCCAAATCTTTGAGATTGTAAGTATTTTAGGTTAATAGCAAATTCAACCAGGAGGAGGACTATTCAGGTTTGGAGCCTCACAGGTGTGGGAATCTTAAACCCTTCACCCCTATTGCTGCCCAACTCTGGATTGGGGGTGAGGTGCCTGCTATTTGCATCAGAAAGACCACTTCAAAGGGACTCAATTCTCCCACCATGGTAATCATGTTTTGCTTAAAATCCAATTTGGTGAAGAATTCTGAATTTGCTCTTGGAATCTATCAATCGGGATTTGCTGCCCTCTGCTGGCTACTGTCAGTCACAGGCCACTGTGAAAAATGAAACCATGGGCCAAATCCGTAGCCCTCGGAGTTGGTGGTTCATTGCCGACCTCCTCTCTGCTTTTTTTTCTTTTTTGGCATTTGCTTATCGAGGTTTTCAAAGTACTGACAAAACAAGATACTCCAGGGGTGTCTGTGCTCAACAGATTTTGCTTCCCCACTAGGGTTTCCAGGGAAGCTCCAAGACATACAGTATTTTTCGCTCTATAAGACACACTTTTTCCCTCCTAAAAAGTAAGGGGAGATGTGTGTGCGTCTTATGGAACGAATGCAGGCTGCGCAGCTAAGCCTCCGCAGGGCAGCGGGGTGACTTCCTCCCGCTGCCCTCCGGAGGCTTTGCGGGCTGTCCCAGAAGCCAGAACAGCGAGACGGAGCGCTGTGCAGCACTCCCTCTCCCTGTTCTGGCTTTTGCAATAGCCCGTGAAGCCTCTGCAGGACACGGGGATGAAGACTCCCCATGCCCTGTTCTGGCTTCTGGGATAGCCCCGCAAAGCCTCCACAGGGCATGGGGATGAAGACTCCCCGCTGCCCTGCGGAGGCTTTGCAGCTATCTTGCAGCTATCCCAGAAGCCAGATCCTTCTTGCTGTTCTGGCTTCTGGGATTCAGAATTTTTTCTTTTCTTGTATTCCTCCCCCCAAAACTAGGTGCGTCTTATCGTCTGGTGCGTACTATAGAGCGAAAAATCGGATAACTTTGAGTCTAAGACAGAGCAGACACGGTTCTGTATCCACAGCTTCCAGCATCAACCCCCCAAACTCTCACACACAATTCTGCCATACACAACCCCACCTAGGATGATGTGCCATCCTTGTCTCTGTGGTAATCCCTTGCACATCTTATATTTGTTGGAAGTCACCCAGAGTGGCCAGCGCAACCCAGTCAGATAATAAAATTGTTGCTGTTAGTTTTATTATTTTCATACTTAACTGGTCAGCTAAGGCCATTACCTTAACAAAGGGACTGGCTGGGCTGGTTTAGCAGCCTATTCTGCTAGATTCTACTTTGCCCTGAAGATCAGCTAGATTAGAAGAAGCTGGAGACCTCTTGCTTTAAACAAAACAAAGCATAGGAACGTAAGATACAGCCCAATACCAGGTCAGATCGCTGGTACATCTAGCCCAATGTTCCCTACACTGACTGGTAGAAGCTTTCAACGGTTTCAGACAGGTATCATCTCCACCTCAAGATGCCAGGGACTGAACATGGGACCTTTTGCATGTAAAACAGATGCTCTATCCCTGAGCCATAGCCCTTCAAGGGGAGCTGGGTTAATCTATGACACCATGCCCACAAAAGAGCGGCCACTTTTATTCTGAGAAAACAACCATACTGGCTGGGGCTCAGAAAGGCAGGTTTATGCCATGATAAATATGCTTTCAGGTGACACAAAATCTACTCCCCTCCTGTTTTTTGCAGTTGCTGCAGACTAGCACCAACTATCCCTCCAGAACTGTTATCCTTTTCCAGCAGCATGACTGCAGAACCTAATACTCATTCTGCATTTGTAAGAAATTAGGGTTGCCATATTTCAAAAAGTAAAAACCAAGACCCCAAAAACATTGAGCTTTCCCCCCCTGCCTTTGAAATCCTGGTAACGTCTGGAAGGAACTGGACATATGCCAGCCCTATAAAAAATCAAGTAAGAAAGTGAATTTTTAGCATGACAGCACTCAAACTTTGGAATCCCCTGTCTGCTGACATCAGAAGAATGCTGTCAACATACTCTTTTCGGCCCTCTGATTAAAGCACTTTTGTTAAGGCAAATCTGTCCAGATACATAGACTGTTGACATTCATTTTAACCTGTTTTTAGTTTGCCACTGGTTTTAATTACTTTTTACATAGCTGTTTCTACTGATAATTTCGTTTTTTTCTTTCCATAAACTATATTAGAGCGCTGTTGGGGTGTTTTTTTTATTCAATCAAGTGGTATATAATGGTTTTTGAAATAACTAAATATAATCCTTTGGTCCTTTTTTCTTTTTAAAGCACCATGCCAGAGGTATACACCTAACTTAGGAAAAGAGGCCAGTCCTTGCCCCAAGGAGCCTACAGTTTAAATGCCTGTCAGATGCCGTTGGAGGGATAGCCCAGGCAGACTAAGCAGGTTTTGAGTCTCCGGCCAAAGAGGGATGGGCGAATAGAGACAAGCGGGGGGGGGGGAGAGAGAAAAGGGATGAGTTGTGGGGGGGAGGAGGGTGTTTCAAGGGTTTCAGGCTGGCGGAAGGCACCAAATGAGCTGCGCTGGTGGACTGAGCTGACCGCTGCAGAGCCATGAGCCCTGGAAAGAAGGGCAGAGGCCGGCCCTGGCCCAGAGCTCTACCTGGCTGGTGGATTCTCCTTGGCTGCATAACAGGTACCAGGCAACAGGGATGGTGCAAAACAAGGGAGGTGTTTTTCTTTCTTTCCAGGGGGAAGCGAAACAGCCTCACTGGGGGAGCAAACCAGACTGGGCAGGCAGACCAAGCTGGGAATATTTTTGGGGTCCTCATCCATTCCGCTTGGGTCACATCCAAACCATTTAAAGCACTTTTAACAGGTGCTAAGAACTATAGGTCTGAAAGGTCAGCACCCCCTTAACAAACTCTGGTTCCCAGGAATCTTAGGGGGAAGCCATGACTGTTAATAGCATGTTGTACTATTTCTCCTCCCCCCACCCCCAGATCTGTATTTTAATAGATTTTTTTTCCCTCACACTGTTGGAATCATAGTTCCATTACTTTTCAGCTACAGTGGTACCTTGGGTTAAGTACCTAATTCGTTCTAGAGGTCCATACTTAACCTGAAACTGTCCTTAACCTGAAGCACCACTTTAGCTAATGGGGCCTCCTGCTGCTGTCGTACCGCCGGAGCACAATTTCTGTTCTCCTCCTGAAGCAGAGTTCTTAACCTGAGGTACTATTTCTGGGTTAGCAGAGTCTGTAACCTGAAGCGTATGTAACCTGAAGCGTATGTAACTCGAGGTACCACTGTATAAGCTTTTATTTTTTTTAGCTATGGGTGTTTAACAGTGTGGGTTCCCCACCCATGAGTTGCCTTGAGTCCTGGAGAAAAGGCAGGGCGTAATTAAATGAATAAATAAATGATTAAATACAATATTGTGGAATAAGAGTGCTTAAAATAAATGGTGTGGTGGGTATCACCTCAGTCTGTCTGTCTGCTTGCAGGTTTTACAGTGTTGGGGCTGGGGGCTGGCTTAAAGCCAAGGTAGTCCTGATAGCATTTTAAAAAAATTTAAAGGGTGGCAGATTTGGATCAGGGCCATGGTACTGAGAAAATTCAGGGTTAAGCCTTTACCCTATGGAAATCTTGCTTCTTCATCCATACCAATTAGCAGCTTGGGAGGGTGGGTACAGTCTTTATTGGGAAAACAGTAGAACAATAATGGTTTGTTAAAAAGGCCCATACCTGCCACTGTGGCCCTAATCCAACCCACACCCCTTATTTTTACCAACAACATGGTCACAGAGAAACAATTGGTTGTTGTGACTGGTGGGGTTTTTCCCTCACACACACTCAGAATCCATTTGTTGAAAGCTGTGAAGGTGCCGCACACAGCTTAGAGCCAGTGTGGTGTAGAGGTTAAGAGCAGTGGACTCGTAATCTGGTGAATCGGGTTCGCGTCTCCGCTCCTCCACATGCAGCTGCTGGGTGACCTTGGGCCAGTCACACTTCTTTAAAGTCTCTCAGCCCCACTCACCTCACAGAGTGTTTGTTGTGGGGGAGGAAGGAGAATGT